TCTCCAACCTTGCCTTTCCCCCTCAGCTTGTCTGGACAAGCAGCCAGCCAGCCTAAGGACATGCATCAAGTCCTTGAGTCCATTTACTCTTCCACACACAACAGGAGCCTGGGTGGGCCTGAGGAGATTATAATTATTATAGTTCGCCTGATTGAGTACTTATGTATGCCTGGTGCTGGGCTAAGTTCCTTTTTTTTAAGATTTATTTTATTTATTTATGTATACAAGAGCTGGGGTGTAGCCAGAGGTGCGGGGGGGGGGGGGGTGGGGGGGAGTGGGGAAGTGAGAGGATTCACCAGAGACTGAGTGGGGAGCAGAACAGGCAGATCCACTGAAACACACTGCTGAGGGGAGCAGCTGGCGAGACAGGAGAGGTCTGCTGTGCCATGTGGGTCAGTTCCCTGGCCGGGGATTGAACTGGTGCTGTAGAGGCTGCTGATAGCTTCATAGTGCTGAGGCTTAACCCCTTAGCACCCAGGGAAGCACTGGGCTAAGTTCTTCAGGACCGTGATCCCACTGCATTTTCACAGGAACGCTCTATGGCACTTAGTCCCAACATCACAGCTAAGGAATCTGAGGCTCAGAGAAGTTATCCAAGTTGCCAAATATCACACAGCTAAAAGTCCTACAAGACAGTGAACCCATCCCCCATTCTGAAGTCCACTCTCCAAATTGCCATGTGATATTCCTTCAGTGGAGTCTGCTTCTAAAATGTAGACAGTTCATTTTTATTTATATTTTTATCAGATATAGACATTTTAAATAGTAGTGAGATCCCATACACAATTTGCTGGTTCTAGACATAGGTATAGATCCTCTCAACCTCTCTTTTCCTTGCAAATGCCTCTTTGATGGTGATATTTTTCGATATTATATTACTGTGATTTCTGTGCTGAATGTGGAAGAATTTAAATGAATTTTTCAAAGTGCAATTTTAATAGACCACATTCTGGTCTAGTAAATTACTATTATGAAAAGTTACTACTTGGAAACTTCAAGTGGCCTTCTAGAGTAACGTGTAATTATAATGAATTGTGTTGATGCTATGTGCATTTTTATTGTGTATAATTTAACAAGTATGTGATGACTATCTAATTATAGTCTATAGTTCACAAAGTAATAGTTTAAAGCAATATTTCCTTGGTAGAGGTTATACTTCCCTATAAGCTGCTTGTTTTATGTCTGCATGCAAGTGGTGTATGACTATAAAATGCGCATGCAAATAAAGTCTTAAGAAAAAAGATAGTCTTTAGAAGCATAATCTGTTTTAGAAACACATTTCCAAAAATTTACGGAAAAAAAAAATGGCATTCTTTAAGCCAATCAAGCTAAACAAATCCATGAAAATGTTTTTGTCCTACTAAAACATCCTAAGAATTATGCTGACAATACTCAGAAGAGAAAATCCATTATTCAAGAATAAAGCAGGACAAGAAGGTCAGTTTTTCTGCCTTTGCAAAATGCACAGAGGACTCTGCTCTCTCATTAGATGCTTTAAACACTAAGCTAGGGAATAACAAAGGAAATCCTGTTGTCTCTACCTTCAAACTGAGTCAGTCCATTTCTCCCAGCTCGTTTGCCACCCTGTTGGTTCACACCACCGTCACAGCACACCTGGGTCACTGAAGAGCCTCTTCGCTCCGCCCTTGTCTTCCTTCCCTCTGTTGGCAGCAGAGCAACCAGTCTGCTATAACCCAAGTCACTCCAGCCTTTTGGCAGCTCTCTTCTCTGACAGGAAGAGCTGAATTGTTATGATGACCCCCCAGGCCTGGCCGGTGCTGGGCCTCAGATGCCTCTGTGACCACATCCTCCACTCTCATTCCCTCTCTCTGGTCACTTTGGACTTTTCGCTACCTCAAGGCCTGGGCTCACCTGTCCCTTGGCCTGGAGAACCACTTAGTGACCTCCTCCAGCTCCTTTGAGTCTGCTCAAATGCCACCTTTTCCATGAGGCCTCTGTAGACCCAGTGAATAGCAACTTTCTTTTCCAATCAAATCCCAGTTTCCTTTATGTTGTTGCTTTTTGTCCATAGCACTCCAGTCACCTTTTCACATACTCTATAAGTTACTTGTTCTCTGTGTTATGGCTGCTGCCCCCACTGCAATATCCTACGTCAGGGTCTTTGTTGTCTGTTCTGTTCATTGATGTATCACTAGCAACTGGAATTGTGCCTGATACTTCGCTGCCAGGCAGTACTGATGAATATATGAATGAGTGATAAGATGACTGAGGTATTTCTCTTCCTGTTTCAGTCTGATTTTCCCGCATGATGTTGACACCATTTTCCTTCAAATCTTGAGTAATTAAAAAAGCCACACATTTAGAAATCCCCAAAAAGTGATTTTAAAATGTTGTAGCCATGTTCTTCAGGATTCTGGCATTAATATCAAAATGTTCATCATGACATCTTGAAAGGTTCTCTGCTTTCCTTAGTCCTCAAAGTCATTTTTCATGTCAGGGAGAAAAATTAATTGAATTAATTCTCTACTCTTGAATCAAGAATTCAATGGATTTGCTGTTTTTCTCGTTTCAGGGGTCTGGCAGACATAAGCACAGCTTTGATTTTGTGATGAACTTTTAAAAGCTATTGTTAACTCCTCTGTGTGACATTTTTCAGTCAGAACTCTCTTGATTTCAGCGAGCATCTATGCATTCACCAATATCTAACCCTCATTAAGTATCATTGTTAAAATATAATGAGTCTTCAATTCTCAGAATGATAAGCTCTCTAGAGTAAGAACTTCCTTGAGTGATATGAGATCAATGAAGTCTAATGCTATTTTTTTCTTTCAACAAATATTGACCATGTGTCTACTATGACATATATATTGCTAGATGCTGGGGGAGCAAGTGATGAACAAAAAGTAGTCCTTGCCCCAGAACAGTTCAGTCTAAGGAAGACTAGTGGGTCAATGCCTAACAATTATACATATGCTAAATGCTAGAGCAGAGTCATTGAAAGGTGCTGGAAAAACAAGGAAGAAAGTAGTTTTTAAGCATGGCTATAGTTATTATTGTAGATCTTTGTCTTTTTTCAATTAAAAAATATTTAGTAAGCACCTCATAAAGTCCAAGGCATTGTGCTTGTCCTGGGGAATACAGACATAGGATCTGGTCTTTTGAGAAGTGCTACTGATGATTACATTACTCATGCTGCCCCTACATGTGGGCTGAAGTGCTGATTCTTGAAATTCCACTTGGAGAAAAAGATCAGTTGTAGTTGGTGAAGTTTCCAGTATGCCTTTTCCATGGTGTACCTACTGGGTGTTCAGTGTGCAAGCATTCTCTGATCATTGAACAGCTGTATGCCAGGGTGGACTGGCTGCTGTGAGCTGCAGGAAATACTTCAACCAAATAAAGCACCCAACACCTGTAACTTGTCCATAATCTATTTTTTGTCTAATTCTTGCATAATGTAACAACGTTTGTATGGAAAGGCTGAATGCCTTAAAGATACTTAAATTTTTAATGCTATGTTGGTGAGGGGGAAAAAAAACAAGAAATGCTTTCAGCCATCTTCTGTGAATGTTTGAAAAGTGAGAAACTGATTAAGTATATCTGGATTGAAATGCTCATTACTTTAAATTAACATCATAGCCCAAAAGGCAAGTTTGTGTTCATTCATATATTTTATAAAGACTATGTACAATGATATGAGGGTGTTTTTAGCTATATATGAATATAAGTTTACTCTTATGACCATTGATATAGCTGAAAATAACTGTTATAAAATGAACACTTAATATAGTACTTACTATATACTAGCTACTGTTCGTGTTTAAGTGATTGGGTCACTTAACTGACCCTGGGAGTTAGGAACTATGATTACCCCCATTTTACAGATGAGGCAAGGTATAGTCAAGCTTATTAGTCCAAGGTTATTGCTAATGAGTGGCAGAGGCAGAATTTGGACCCTGGTGAGCAGACTTTACAATTAGTGACAGCACCTGCTGTGTTATATAACCATACAGGCAAGAGGGGCCGATTAACCCTGTTGATTATTTATCTCTTAACATTTTTTTTAAGCAAAGTCTATTTGTACTAAGTAGATATTTGCGCTCAGAATTATGTTATGGAAAAAATACTCAAAGTGTATAATCGTGGTGTCCTATAAACACCGAAAGCTGACTTTTTGTAATGCAAGTGCCTGACTTAAGCTTTGGTGCATAGGCATCCAGTTCAAAGAGGGCCAGCTCAAACCAACACACTACCAACCATACAATAGATAAGAATAAGCTCCTCACCCCTTACCCCCTCACAGACTCCTCCATTTCAACAGATCTTCGTTGATTCAGATAATTTCCCATTTGGGATGACTTGTATTTCTTCCTTTTTTCTTGTGTCTCGCCATGCTTTAAATTCCCAGTTTATTTGTAAATTCACTGATAAAGAGTAAGGCTGAAACCCTAACTCTTGCACCCTGTCTCCCAATTCAGACAGCTCCCTAGGCCCCCAAGCACCCGCTCTCTGTACATCCCTCCAACCTCACTGTGGCCCAGAGATGTGTCGTGTAATTTCTAAGGCTGGGAAGTAGTAAACCTGAAAGATTCCTGCTGGTATTGCGCCATCTTATTAAGAACCGCAAGGACCAGTTCAGTATTGTCTTGAAAAGGAAATATTAGCTTAAGAGAGGGAAATGTGAACGCCCCGATTGAGCAACCCCAGGCATTTCTAGACAATAACATTATTATCAAAAGGATGAGACCCACACACAACACCTGGTTCAGAAAAACATTACTTTCTCAATGTTATCTAGTACCCCAAATCCTTAAAATAACTTTCAAGAGTGACTCAGTCTGTGCTAAACCAAAATATTACTAATGATGAAACAGCAAAACCTCAGACGTTTTAACTACCAATCACGTAATCCAAGGCACACCCCAGTAATTACATCTCTTAATGTGAAGTAGAAGTCCAGGCGAGGGCATATTTGCTTTGCAGGACATAGGAATTAAAAGTGGCATGAGATCCATGCTCTTCTGCATGTGAATAGTAAGTATTAGAATGTGAATATTAAGTAGTATAATTTTGAAGAAAACTGCTTATTATTTTATAGTGAGGGAACTTTATGAGAAAAGATCTTCAAGAGAATTTTATGTGATTAAAAAATCAACTTAGATGTTTGAAATTTGGATTACTGCACTCTTATTCTTTGGCACATCAACAGGTAAGACTCATAATTTATATTGTTCCTTACAAAATAATGAGTATGTTCTTATCCAAAATGTAATTAACATAGATTTTTGAAATATTGGCTCGGTTTATGTTTGTCATTTAATTATCTAAGGGAAATGCATCAACTTGGAAATACTGAATGAATCTTGTGAGCATCTGAAGAGCATCTATTTCCAAAAATATAAAAATTGCCAGATGATCTTATGTTAGACTTCTGGCTCTGCCACTTACTGGCATTATGACTTTGGTCAAGTAATGTGTCCACTGAAGTCTGAATGTCTTCAGTTGTAAAATGGGCCTGTAGCAGTAAATGAGAAAATACAGGCATATTTTCATTTCCAGTACCTGGCTCACAGTAGATCCTCAATGAGCCCCTTTGACTGACTGAAAGATTAAAGCTTATTGGAATGTCCACGTTGACTTTTTTTCAATTTGTGTCATGTCATAATTTCGTGGAGGACTAGTGTTCTGTGAACATTTCTTATCCTTTAACTCCATATTCAATAATTTATACTCTTTATACTGTGGCCTCCTTATGCATTTCCTATGAGGTAGTTACTGGTTTTGACTCTTCTTACCATCCAAGTTTGATATTGTACCTTTAAGCACAAGCTAGCTGATAATATTTTAACTAAAATAGAATCAATGACTTTCAATGTTTTTTAGTCTCTGCTCTCCAGCACTCTACTATGGGATTAAAAAAAAATAGAGAGATGGAGTTATCATTAGTTTTAGTATCTGCCAGGAACTGTGCTCTATTTCCTGTGATTTTCTTGCCCATGAAAGTCCTGAATAAAAATGCTGAAATCAATTAAACTGATGAGTTCCAGAACAGAATGAAGAAGAAAACAGTCTTCTCTGGTCTGTTTTCTCATAGTCACTTTCTCTTGTCAGATGCTATCTCCTGCTTCCAAAGTTTGGGCCCCTCTTTGCTATCTCAAGTTACAGCCTACCCCTCAAAATCCTCTCTGAATTAGGATACTAACCCATTTTTAAAATCAACAAATACAGTCACTCCTATGTGCCAGGCACTGTGTTGAGCTCTGGAGACAGTCATGGTTGAAAAGCATCCCTGGAGCCCATCAGAAACATTTGCTTTTCAATAGGGAGTGACTTCTGTTTGGGTGTTTATTGAATTAAGCACAAATTGTAAAACATCAGGTACCAGAGAACAGAATGCAAATGGATTCTGTTACAAATTGAATAAATGCAATATGGCTAATAACACAAATGTGATACAGACTCAATATTTTTAATATGGCAAGTGTGTAACTGATATAGTGTATTATATACATATATGTGTGTACATATATCAATCTAAATCTAAATTTCACATAACTACATAGTTTATTTTAAAAAGCATCTGTTTGGCAACTGTCTCTGCAGTTTTTTCCTACCCGGTTTAAATCCATGGTCAATCATCATCACTCCTTACCGTACACAGTGGACTTTGTTGCTCTTACTTCGCCTTAACAATGATCCTGGTTAAATCCAGCACTTGGCCTACTTCATGCCTGCACCTGTGCTGCTGAATGTGCCTGCAATACCATAAGCCACGCTGACTGTGCTCCTGTGAATTCATCTTGTTCATCTGAAGTAGACCCTAAAGCTGCCGGGCTTCATACTCTACTTCCGACTAGTCCATTCCTTTTCCCAGGCTCTTGGGTTATGGCATTCTTCTCTCCTCTTCTGCAACTTCCAAGAGCCCCCCTCTGCCAACACTCTTGATTTCTGAACTTGTTTCCAATTTCAATAAAAACAAACAAACAAGCTCAGAAAAGGCCTCCCCCTACCCCAGCACATCGACCCAGTTCCCTGTATGTACATGTCGGTACATTCTCCTCTTTCACAAGAGGTGAGCTGTTGTTTGCTCCTAACAAAGGTCAACCCTTCCTCTTATGTGCTAGACTCTGTCACCTCTTCCCTGCTCCAGGGTTATAGCAATGCTCTCTTCTACTTCTCCTACTTCACCAATGTGCCTCCTCCCTACTGGATCATTCCCAACAGCACACAAAAGTATTATTTCTCCCATTTAAAAGCCCCAGATCCTATGGAACTGTCTAGATAGGAGTTCCTATTTCTCCTCCCTTCTGTTCTGAGCTCATTCCAATTAGGTGTTAACCTTAAAGACCACTAAAAGCGCACTTGTCAAGGTCACTGGCCACTGCCATGTTGGTAAGCCCGTGGTCAGTTCCCCACACACGTCTAGTGGGACTTAGCAGTGTCTGGCACTCTTTTAAATAGTTTCTAAGAGGCCACACTCTCCTGGGTTTTCACTTACTGCCCTGGTCATTTTCGGCAATCATCTTTGCTAGTGCACCCTCATCTTCCTGATGTCATGATGGGGTGTCCCAGGACTCAGTCCTGGACTCTCCCTCTTCTTTACCTGCAGTCGCTCCCTTGGTGATCTCGTGCATACTCAGGTCTTTGAACACCCTGACTTCCAAATTCATACCTTCAGCTGAACATGTCCCTGGAATCCCAGTCTCTCATCCACCTACCTCTGTGACATCTCCACTTAGGTATCCATTCCTGTAAAATCTACATGTTCAAAAATGAGCTCTTGATTTCCACCCCCAAATCTCTTGCCCCTCAAGATTTCCTCATCCCAGTGGATGGTGTGACTCCAGTCTTGTTGGTGCTTTGGCCAAAACCCTTGATATCATCTTTGAAATATTTCCTGTCACAGCTCTCTGCCAATATTTGGCAAACTCTTTTGGCTCCTCCTTCAAAAATATCCAGAACCCAACGGCTTCTCACCACCTCTCTGTCACCATCTTGGTTGTAGGCACTGCTGTTTCTTATCTCGCTCATAGCAGTGGCCTCCTCGCTGGTCTCTCTGCCTCTCCTCTGAACCTGCTTCAATCTATTCTCCAGAGAGAAGCCAGTCTGCTCACATTCCTTAGAGCCTCCAATGGCTTCTCTTCCGGAGGTCTACCACCTGTGCTGTGTGCTTTCTGCACAAACGCCCACATTAAGTTGGATAAAGACGATGTGTGCCCTTAGGTCAGTTTCAGTTACCAGATGAGTTTGCTGCAAACTAATAAACAAGTGAATGAAAAAAACCAAAGCCCCACCCCTTTCACCCCTGAGATTTCTAGATTTGAAACTGCAAAATAAGGTGCCGTGGACCTGACTCTCCTCCTTGTTCCCTTAGCTCAGGTCAAGGCGGCCTCCTCATAGTTCCTCAGTCATGTTGGGTAGAGTCTTGTACTTTCTCCTCCCTCTGTCTGGAATGCTGCTGCCCACACCCCAAAATCGACAGGTTTTGCCCCTTCAGCTTCTGTATTCAAAAGTTACCTTTTAGGGCCTCCCCGGTGGCGCAGCGGTTGAGCGCTGCGTTGTGAAGCTGCCCACAGCCTCTGCAGTGCTGGTTCGATTCCCAGCTGCTCCCCGGCCACCGGAGGAGGGTCCCACATGGCGCGCAGACCTCTCCTGCCACCCGCTGCTCCCCTCAGCAGTGTACTTCGGTCCTTCTGCCTGCTCTGCTCCCCGCTCTGGCTCTGGTGAATTCTCTCACCCTACCGTGCTTCTGACTGTACCCAGTGCTTGTATAAATAAATAAAAATAAATAAATGTTTTAAAAAAATAAAAAAGTTGCCTTTTAAACTGAGGTCTTCCCTGGCCCCTCCTCACCTAAATGAATGGGCATCTTTGTCCCCACCATAAACTGTGTTTCTCCCAATACCTGCCACTATTTGACACATGCCATAGTTTATTTATGTAATTCTGATCCATTGTCTGTCCCTCTCCCTCCCCCCACTAGACTACATACTCCATGAGGACTAGAGTTATTTTCCTGCTGCTGAATCCCAGTGCTGAGGACAAAATTTGGCATAAAATAGGCACTCAAATAAATAATGCTTGATTAGACTAGTGAATCTATTTCCATCTTTTCTATGTCATTGGAAAAGGTTGTCCCTAGTAAGATAGAGAAATGGCTTACTTAGAAAGTGGAGATTAATAAAATATGAATTAATGTGCCAATTAATACAATTTCTTAACTAATTAAAACTAACTGTATGAAATATGCTTTATTTCAAATGCTCCTTCAGAGAGCTTTTAGGTCAAAGAGGAAATAAAGCACTTCCATTGCAGAATATATCAAAATATAATGACTCAAGAACTGAATAAACCAGAAAAAGAGCAAGTAATTTTGTTTTTTTTTTTAATTTATTTATTTATTTATTTGTGTGTTTTGTTTATACATGCACTGGGTACAGTCAGAAGCACGGGAGGGTGAGAGGATTCACCAGAGCCGGAGTGGGGAGCAGAGCAGGCAGAAGGACCGAAGTACACTGCTGAGGGGAGCAGCGGGCGGCAGGAGAGGTCTGCGCGCCATGTGGGACCCTCCTCTGGTGGCCGGGGAGCAGCCGGGGATCGAACCGGCGCCGCAGAGGCCGCAGGCAGCTTCACAACCCAGCGCTCAACTGCTGCGCCACCGGGGAGGCCCAAGAGCAAGTAATTTTGAAGGAAAATTTTAATTAATAAAAATAAAAATAGAAGTTATTCATAAGAAAAACAGGGGTAAACAATATAACCAATCTCTGGTGATTCCTTAATACAAATTAAAAAAATAAACTGTGATGACAGATTATAAATAAAGGTAAATAATCACAGGTGTGAAAAACATTAAGATGATTCACTTGTCTAAATTCATGCTCAGGGAACTAAAATTCTAAATGAAAAATCTTAGTCTTGACGATAAAAGAAATCCCAGATAGATGAACATTTAAAAGTAAAAGACTGAAGCAATGAAAGTATGAAAAAAGAGTGAAATTGTTAATAATCTTAGTATGAGGAGACCTTTCTAAATAAGACAAAACTCTGAAACCATAAAGGAAAAGTTGTTCTTTTGTTGAATAAAATGCAGGACTTGTACAGGACAAGAAGTGAAATCTATAAAATAAAACTAGAGTATCTTTTCTAAATACCTGGTTGAAATGGGGCAAATTGCTTTAATATTCAGAGTTTTCACAAATAAAGAGGAAAAAAGAAACATAAGAAAAGTGGGCATGGGACATGACGATCTCATCCACAGATGTACACATGGCCAGAAATGCATGAAAGGATTTTCCAGTGTATAGAGAATTAAAGAAAAGCAGAAGTAAATGACCAAAGATTTTCATTCTGATGGTGCTTAAATAGTAAAAATTTAATACATTTATTTTTACTTTTAAAAATTTTATATATATATTTTACACCATTTTTAATTTTTGTACAATGTATGCTTTCTCCTTTTGGGTGTTTTAAATCTACATACTTTTCCCTCATAGATTGTGTTATTGCTCCCCAATATTTACTCTCCCTTCTTGGAAGAGGATTCCATAGCCCCACTTCTGGCAACAACTAAACCTCCAAGCTGGAAACAGTTTTTCTAAAGGGCCTAACACCTGCTGTCTTTTCACTGCAGGAAATGAAGTTTGTTATGAAAGGGTGGGGTGCTTTAAAGATGGTTTTCCATGGACTGGGACTCTATCAAGACAGTTTGCAGGTTTACCCTGGTCTCCAGAGAAGATAAACACTCGATTTCTGCTCTACACGAGACAGAACCCCAAAGTCTACCAGGTAAGCGAACTTGCTGACTTGATGCGACATTTATTCGATTAAATCGGACGTGACTATTGATCTGGAAGAATAGATGCAGTAGCCTCTTCATGAACTATTGATTTTAAAGGCAGATATTTCTTTTTAGTGTTGTAAGCTGGTTTTTCTTATCTTACGTGTCTTAGCATTTAAATATAAAGATTGCTTTGAGTATGTTGTTTCCTACAGAATAAGTCTGATCTATTGTTCTGTTAATATAGTAATTGAGAGCCTTCCAAATGTTGACTGTGGAAGAACATCAGTGACTTATGTATTCCATTGGATAAACAAGACAGCATCTTCAATTTATTATAAGAAACAGGACATGTAAATAAATACCTCTATTAGAGCATGAATTATAGTCTGTGATATAAAATAGAAATAAGTGAGGGCCACCTTCCCCTGGGGGGTGGGAATCGGAACCGGAGAGGATTGGGGACATTGGCTCTGGCTGCACCTTCTTCCCTGCAACAGGGAGAGCCAGAGGCACCCCAGAGGCCCCTGGTTCTGACTATCTGACTGGGGCTCGCTGGCTACACTCTCAAAATTACATGAAGTTAAAAGTCACGTTAACCACCAGCCACATTTCAAGTGCTCACCAGCCACCCATGGCTGACGACGACTGCACTGGACAGTGCAAGCGTGGGCTATGTCCACCACCATAGAAAGTTCTATGTGACAGTGCTGAGCAGAATGCTCTCGTGCAGATGGACCAGACCTGGGAAACTTGCCTGAGCCCGAGGAGTGAGCCTGAGTGTGGTAATAAAATGGGCTTAATAAGCATAAATTGTCCTGAGATCTCACATAGGAGTGACAGGAAGAAGAATGATCCTCTTGTCAGATAAATTGGGGATGAAAGAGAAAGAGTCCAGGGGAAGACAAAAAGGTTTGAGCAGGTTGTTGGCGATGCTGGTCGTGCAGACCCGCGGGCAGGCCAGGGCTGGAAAAGGACATTGGAAAGTCTTTGACTGGGACGTGAGCATTGAAACCCACACAATGAAGGGATCTCCGGGGCAGAGAGCGAGCCCGCTGGTCAGCCAGGGTGGGCGTCTCTACTTAGGTTGCCGGAGGGCAAGGGAGCAGAGGAGGAGCAAGGAGCACTCCCGAGCGAGGTTACCCCCAGTTTTCCTTCCCTTGCTTCTGTGTGTTTGAGCTTTGCTTTTCTTCAGACTCGTCACAACCGCCCCGGCCTCGCCAAACAAGACAGCCGTGGCCTGTGCAAGCATCGTCTGATGTGTAGCTGTCCACTCTCCACACACACGTACATATGGAAACACAACCTGATTGAAATAGGGCATCTGCAGATGGTGCCTCTCTTTAGAATGAGGGGGGAAAGCCCTGATTCGGGGATATGGAGAAACACACAAAAAAATTCCTCAAAAGTTTGATTTTTATAGCTGTCCGAGAGAGAGGAGTATTACTCAATTTTACAAAGAAATGAAATTCTCATCGATGCTGCAACATGGATGAACCTTAAACCTACATTTAAAATTAAATAAACCAAATATAAAAAGACAAACACTATATGGTTCCAGTTGTATGAAGCAATTAGAATAGTCAAATTCATAGACACAGGCAATTGAAGAGTAGTTACCAGAGGCTGGGGAAGGGGTCGTGGAGGGTTCATATTTAACAGGGACAGAGTTTCAGTTTGGGATAACAGGAAAGTTCTGGAAAGGGATGGCGGTGATCGTTGCACAACAATGATAGTGATTGAATGTGACTGAATTATACACTTAAAATGGTCATTTTTACGTTATGTGTATTTTACCACAGTTTAAAAAAATGTAAAGTGAATCTATGTTGACTGCAAGCATTTTGGGACACTTTGTCCACTTTAGACTTTCCAGATATATGTATCTATGCACATAGGACTATTTGTATCTCCTGGTCTTGACCCTCAGCCCTCAGAGGACTTACTGATCTTTATTGTTAGCCTTCTGCACAGTGGCCATGCACTTGTACCTTATCACCTTCTTAGGTACAGGTGCTAAAACAGAAGGTGAAGACCAGTCTTCCGGCAAGGCTGCATCTCAAAACTAACAGAACATCAGAAACCAAACACTTTCCTAATGACGATAGCCTGAAAAACAGTGTCCCTCACCACTTCCCTACTTCCTTCTGTTTGGAAAGAGGCATGTGTGACAGCCAGATGTGCAGCTGTGTGCTGGGTTGGCAATGGATGGAAGCCTGAGGGCTTGCTGTCAAGGTGATTTTTAACAATGGTGAGGATAGAGGATGAGTCAGGTGTGACACTGAAAACAAGGATCGCCCCAGACTTTATCCCTCTGCTGTATTGTGATTTCCAAGCCTGTGTTTATGAGAAAGCAGAAGTGAACTATACAGTACTCTCGACATACTCTTTTCTTGGAGGGAAGAACTATCAGAGGAAACATGAAGCAGTAAGTTGGTCTTCTGGGAGTCCCAAGTCATCACAGCTACCTTCCTGCAGGAGCAAAATCACCCCACTTCCTGCAGGCACGTGTGACTCTGGAGCCGACAATGACAGATGCAGTGATGCATGTGCTGCAGATCGAGGTGGCTTCTGTGCCCCCAGCTTTTGTTAAGGCTAGATCATACCTAAGGGGAACTCTTGTTGACTTACTGGAATAGAGATCTCCTGGGAAAGTTTTCAAAGACAACAGCCGAGGGATGGGTCAGCCTCACACCAGATGGGCTCCATCACCTCTCCAGGAAAAGAATGTTCAGAGAAAAGGCTCCAGCTACACACGAGTACTTGAACTTGCCCTTTCTCTGTGTGACTTGTTTCCTTCTGACACTCTTTTTAAATATTCCCCCCATGGTGGCAGAATCCAAGTTGTCTTCTTGTGATGCCTCCATTTTGTTGGGAGGTTCCCATTTTTTAGGTTAGGAAGCCATTTTGCGAGGGGATGTTAGGTTGAATGTGAAGTGAGCAAAAGTGTTTTTTCTACCCTTTCTGCCTTATTAAATCCTCGGTGACTTTTGTGGCCAGGGAGGAAGTTTGAATCCCACGAGCCTCGTCAGAATCCCACTTTCAGATTCCAATTCCTCAAAACATTCTCACAATAGGGAAAGACTAAAAAAAAAAAAAAAAGCCAGCCTCATCTATTAAATTCCCTCTCCAAAATGTTTTCTTTTGGGGGGGGCGGGGTGTAGAAACCGGATAGAGTAGGTGTTTGAGAGGCTCCAGCTGGAGATGGAATGAAGTTGGATTCCTTTAGATACACAGATGGGCAGATGTTTTTCCACTTGGATTCCTTGATTTAGCAGAGAAGTGCTTCCTAGCAGCCTGGATAGAGTTGACTTTATTACCTGCCTCAGGAAATCCCACACCAGTCTGGGTCCTCTCTGTAGAGATCATTATGATCAGATCACTACTTGGGAATCCAGTGGTCTTCAGAGAAAGACCTGTGGGTTTGAACTCCCTCCCCAGGACTCTTAAGCTACTGTACTGTGGACAAGTGATTTGGCCTCTCCTGGTGCTCCTTTAATTTTGTAAGATTACTGCTTACCTCGGTATTATCAGAGTTAAATGAGCTTCTCTATAAAGTGCTTAGAACAATCCCTGCCACATAGATAGGAGTGTTAGCGATCTTATAATGACTGCTTAAACCAACTTACGATTCTCATAATCGTTCACTTAGTCTTGCATGTTCTTTAACTAGCCAACAAATTGTATGATTAATTGCATATTACTATTAAATGCAGGTACTTACTAATAGGCTCTTCATTTGAATTCTGTAAGTATCTAAATGTGATGCTTTCCAGCTATAGCATCCCCCATTGTCAGACTTTCTATTTGCCTATTCAAGTATTTGATTTTTCCTCTATAGAATTGCTTATTCTTACATCTTTTGATTTTTTTTCTTAATAACAAAATCACTCAAATTCAAGTATTCTAAAGCCTTTGAGGGTTTGGTTATAAAAACAACCCAACAAAATACAAGAAATACAGAAGAATATTTAATGTCATCTTATTTAATGTAATTTTAAGGACTGAAATTATTTTTAGTATGCTCTTGTATATCATAGGTGAGAGTCTACCCTCTGTTCTTCACTCACAAAGTGGAGTGGACAACTATTTCCCCCTTGCAGTGGGATTCCAAGTCTCACAAAAGATAATTCTCTTAAATGACGCTAACAACTAATGCGTGTCACATGGAAGTAAGGCATACTAAATTCTGATTGAAATGTATCTGATGCTGTCTTACCACCATTACCCTAAGGCCAAACACTTTTATTTCTTCAGGATTATATTTGTGTATTGCATTTTAGAATGTATTAACCATTTCTTGGCATTTTTCAAATATGTAGCAGTAACTACCCCTTTGGTAAAAGTATATTAAAGAAGGTTGTTATAATGAAATTTAATGGAAAGCTTTGGAGAAGATTTAAACTAATTCCACTAAATGTGAAGTGGTTTTAAGTTATCGTTTTACCTTAATTTCTTTTCATTTGAAACAGGAGATCAGTGCAGTTAATTATTTAACAATCCAAGCCTCAAACTTTGGAACAGACAAGATCACCCGCATCAACATACCTGGGTGGAAAACAGATGGCAAATGGCAACAAGATATGTGCAATGTACGATGTGAATAAACTCCCCTTTACACTAGTGTGAAAGCTTTATGTTTAACGTGAGCATACTTTGCAAGGTATCTATGCGTATTCATAGAAATCTTCCATTTGGTTATTCCATTGCCCTCGTTCCAAGCTGTCGAGTGAATGATCTATTTCCCAGTTATTTTCACTTATTCTGAATTGCACAATAATGGAAGCATATTATTTTAATTATTCTTTGGTAAATTCTCACCTCTGACAAAAGATTGAATGGTACAATCAATTTCTTGTTTAATTTAAGGGGGAAATTTTTCCATGTTCACTCCATGAAATTAATGTCCCTATCTTATACTCAAGATTAATAGACTGCTAACATAGTAAGCAATTAATTATTTATCAGGCCATCTACTGTAAGGGGGTCAGGCTATGTGAATCACATCATAGTTCTACTTACTAGCTCTGTGATCATGGGCAAGTTCATTCATATCTGTGCCTCAGTTTCCTCATTTGCAAATGAGAACTAAATATGTTAATATATGTGAACGGGTCGGGACAGGACCCAGCATGTGGGAGTCTCTATACTTGCCAGTGTTATTTCTTATTATGGAATCAATTGTTCAGGTCCTTTGGTTTTCTTTAATTCTTTTTTTTTAATGCTTATTCTTAATCTTCGTACCAGGTGTTGCTAAAAGCAGAAGATGTGAACTGCATTAATTTAAATTGGATCAACGGTTCCTTGGAATATATCCATGCTGTAAACAATCTCCGTGTTGCAGGTGCTGAGGTGGCTTATTTTATTGATGTTCTCACGGTAAGGAGAGTTGATTTTTTAAAAAGTACATTTAATTGGTTTTTCATCACCACACCAATAATGTTGGGCAATTTTATGTTCTTTTTATTAACTAACACAGGCATTGAGCATGTGAAATGATAAGCATTTTTGGTTAACCAGAAAAGGGAAATTCTTGGGAAAGTGCCTGTGTTTGCACAACGTGCCACTAGGTGGCGGTATCCCTTCAGGCTCCGCCTCCACCCAAGGTCACTGCCTCGGGCAGCGTGTTGGACCATCTTGTGTTGGACCATCTCAGTTAGTTTTCTTCACACTGTAAACTTGTTCTTTGTTTTTTTTAAGATTTATTTATTTATACCAGAGCTGGGATACAGGACAGAGGGGCAGGAAGGTGAGAGGATTCACCAGAGACAGAGCCGGGAGACGAACAGGCAGACTGACGAAGTACACTGCTGAGGGGAGCAGCGGGCGAGACAGGAGAGGTCTGCCGTGCCATGTGGGTAGCTCCCTGGCCGGCCGGGAATCGAACCCGTGCTGCAGAGGCTGCGAACAGCTTCACAGCACGGTGGTCAACCCGCTGCACCTCTGGGGAGACCCCTGTAAACTTGTTCTTAATGAATATAAAAAACTTCCATCTTCCACATGCTATTTACTTAGAGTGTGAAATGCCTTTTTCCCCAGAAAGGGTGTCCTATGGCAGTGAATTAGGTCTCTAGGCCAATCCAAGCACAACTCCTTAACCTACACATTTTCTGAAAGAAAATAGATGTTGTTATTCAGAAGGAATATGCCCTGAGAAAACTTAGGAATCTCCAGATGCTGCACCATTATGTAGAGTAATTTCCTGCCGTAAAATGCAGTGAAGTAAAATCTAAAGCCTGGTGACTCCTGCAGCTTTTTAAGGCGATCACATGTCCATTCAGCACCCCTCCCACTGCTGCTGCAGAGGACCTGGCACTCTTGCAGGTGCTAAGGTTCCCACAAGCAAGGGCGTGGTGCCCAGGTAGGGGGTGGGAAGGGCAGGAGCGCGCTCCCTGGGGTGGGGTCCCTGGGAGGCGCTGTGGACTCTCCTGGGACGCGGTTAGGACACAGCCTGGGGAAGGAATCAAGGAGCCACTCACCGCTGCCCCCACACGTCTCCTTTGTCAGGGAGGGTTTTGAGAAGGTCTGTAGTGGCAGGATGGCCCAGAGCAGGTTTTCTATGACCGGAGCAGACGGGTAAAAGGGAGTCCTGGAGCCCTTGGTCGCTTTCGCAGGCTCTTATTGAGCTTTTACATGTAGTGCAGCAACCAGGTACATGGCCAGCAAGGGTGCCAGCAGGCCTCCCGGGCCCCTGGCAAGTCTTCACTCTGGGCTTCTCTGCCTTGCTTTCTCCCCTTCTCTCTTTCTCCTGCCTGTCTCTGTACTGCAGCCATGGCCCACAGAAGTCAACAGCATAACTTATAACAATGTAAGAAATGCAGGCGCCCCAGCAGGCAGGGCAAGCCACAGGGCAAGCCTAATGGTGGAGGGCAGGAAAGCTGAAAACCATTTACCCTACAATCCACCTGCTCAGGGTTTTCTGCCATACAGTCTATATACAAGTTATATACAGTTTTCCCTTAACAAATATAAACAGTGCAGCCACGGCCCACAAAAGAAAATAGTATACAACTGAATAATGTAACAGAACACAAGTAAGTCCAAGCAGGGCACCAACCTAGTGGCAGAAGGCGATTATTGGCACCAGCCAATAATCCACCACTTCTGCTGTGGAAGGTGCTGCTCATTCGAGGGGGGAACCACTCAGGCATCTGCTGTCACACGCCAGGAGCCGTCAGGCTGCCTGGCCTTCTCTGGCTATGGTCTCGACCACAAGCCACACTCTGCATCCACCCCCAGGATGCGCTCACTCCTGGATTGGCGATTCTTGTCTTTGGGGGTAATCACCCAACCCTCAGGGTTTCTGTCTGCAGTCACTCCAACACCCGGCTTTCATAGCCACCAATGAGACACACAGACACCTGCACTCAGGCCAACCCATTGCACATGCACATGGGTCGGGGATCCGTGGATTCAAGCTCCACCTGTGGCCTCTCTTGGGTCCCCTTGTTAGGGGGAAAGATGTCCTGAGCAAACTCCATGCAGGCTTTGTGGATGCCACCCCCACTCCATCAGGACACTGGGAACTACAAATCCCATGAGCCTCAAAGGGAAGTTGCGAGGTTCTAAGGGCGGAGTTAAGCAGCCATTTTCTCTATTTGTAAATAAAACCAGCCATGTTAGGGTAGTCCGGGGCACTTGGCTCGTGCTCTTGGCCAGGCAGGTGTGGTCTCGGCGGGTCATTTTGGATTCCAGGTCTGCAGAACGGGTAGGACGCATTTAAGACTTTATCTCCCTCTTTTCTCCCTGAGTTGTTCATTTCCTCATTTCCCTTTCCCTTGTAAATAAGTCTTTGTTAACCTTTTGTGTGTGCCTGCAGGGTAAGTCCCTTTTAAGTGCACGGGTGAGGACCCACAGTTAGGCAACTCGTTTTAGGGGCTGTGGGCTCCATCACAAGCCACGTTCCCCACCCATCCCCTAAGGACAGATTCCTCAGCTCCTCACCTCACTCTACAGTGAGCAGGCCATCACCCACTGGTGATTTTAAGAGACTCACTGGCCTTCTTTAACATACTTCAATTGCTTAACAGCCGCTCAGGGCTTCCCAATCTCAACACCAGCTTTTGCCTTTCTAAGTTGGCTTTTCCTCTGCCTGGCTGCAAAGAACTTGGTGAGGGCTTCCTCCCTCAGCCAATCTTGGGTCCTTCTCATGCCTGCCCCTTCCCCTACTGTGGCCATTGCCTCTCCAGGCTGTGGCCCTTGGATTGCTGGGCAGTACCCACGGAGGCCCACTGGCCACCTCCAGATTCCCATCTCCTGGGGTGTACAAACAATACCATCCTCTCCCAGGGCCCCCAAAACATAACATTACCTTGTCAAAGTTCCTCCACCTTCTGGTGGGATTGTCAGTCCAAGTCCATCCATTGTTCCTTGTGCCAGCACTGGGTGAGCTCTCAATCATGGTCCCTTCTTCCCTGACAATTCTGCTGCCTCAGGGGTCCCGGGCTGGCCCTCGCGGGCTGTCTCCTCCTCCACTCGAGGTCTCGTCCCCCAGCTCCCAGACCTTGTCCACCTCCTGTGCTCCTGCAGAGTCTTTAGCTCTTCCCACAGCTCCTGGACTCTGGTCACCTCCTGTGCTGCCATGGCGCCTCCAACATTGTCACAGGCTCTCCGTCTGCTACTCCTCAGTCCCTCCTGAGGTCTTCAGAGGGCTCCATACCCGTCTGCATCGGATCATCCGGCCGACTTACACCAATTATAAGGGCAGGAAGGGACAGAGCAGGTTTTCTATGATCCTCTGTGCTGCCCCCACATGTCTCCTTTGTCAGGGAGGGATTTGGAGAAGGTCCTTATGTCAAGAGAATGAAAGCAGATTTGTGTTCTCAGAGAACAGTGAGTATGATAAGCTTTCCTAGATGTGGTTGTCAACCTTGAGCCTTCAGCTGTGGGCTCTTCCATCCTGCTCCAGGAAATAAATAGCGTGACTTATAGGAAACTGGGAGATGTTTGTTGAACTGAAGCGAAAAGTAAGGAGCGTGTAGCCCTGGGGGTAACCCAGACGCCAGGCCCTCAGTTCCTGTCACCTCATCACAGGGATGGGGCCACTTCCCTGCAGGGACTGGCCCCAGGGCAGGTAGGTGCCTGGGGGCAGCAGGCGGTTGATGGAGGAGAGAAGATGGAGGGCAGGACGACTAAGAGCCCTCTCAGACACCAGCCTGGAGAGGAGGGTGGGAAAGTGCAGAGACTTAAAACGATGGCAGCAAAGAGAAAAGGCGCCCTCAGGCCCAGACCTGGAGCCATTCTGAGGCAGCCATTCACATGTAAATGAGGGGAAATACTCCTCATAAAGCAGCACAGAATATTGTCATTACTGTTGGAAAGATGGAACATTTGATCAAATCACCAATTTATGCAAGTGAAGGAAATTGCCTGATTTTTACTGTTTTCACGAAGAGAGCCTAAAAATGAAGATGCACCTAAAATGCTTGTTCCTTTGTTCCCATGAAGGCCTGCGTGTGTGAATTTTGGGGCACATAATCTCTTTGTGAATATTCTTAACACCCCATTTTGAAAGTCAAATTCATGCCAGACCTGTGTGGTAGAGTTGACTTGGAGGAAATGGACGTGGGTGAGGCAGACAACAGCACGGACTAGGTGCCCGTGACCTGTGGTGGAGACCAGTTGGAAGGGCATGGACTAGAAGCCAAGATACATTTCTGGGCTGTTCTCTTGCTCCCGGTCACCGGGAGGCCACTTAGCATGGGGAGAAGAGCAGAAACAAAGCTTTCCTCAGACCCACCTGATGCTCCCTCCATTCAGATGGATGTGGGTGGTCTCGAGACCACCTTGTCACCTCCCCAGTCCCAAGAGGGAGACGCACGTCCATGCCTTTTTCATTGTAAGCCTATTTAAGTCAATCTACCTCTTTTCAAAAGACTTATTCAGTTTTCCTTTTTTAAAAAATCCCATCAGGAAAAATTTGGATATTCCCCTGCTAAAGTGCACTTGATTGGCCACAGCTTGGGAGCACACCTGGCTGGGGAAGCTGGGTCCAGGACCCCCGGCCTGGGACGAATAACTGGTAAGCCCTCCCCGTTCCATGTCTCCTTCACTGGCCTTGTGCCTCCTTGTGCCCTGGCAGCTGTTGGAACGCAGGCCCTCTCTCGCCTGCCTGGATCTGGCTGCCCCCCAGCTCTGCCTTGCATGAGCACTGAGTGTGCCCTCCCCGTCCAGGCCCTGCCACGCCACTGCAGGCGCAGTCCACTGCCTTGGACGTCTTCACTCTCGTGAACATTTCTCACTTCATCGTGTCCTCCTGTGTTTCTGTGCCTTTGTGCAGGCCATGCCCTCTCACCCTCAATGTTGGCTGCCCGCCTGCAGCCCCCTCTTCTTTGGGCGCGGCTCATTCTCTGTGCTGTCCTTGCGTACGCCTCCATCATAGTTGATAGATACAAATATTGCAGTGTTGTATTTACACACCTGTTATTTCCAATAAACTCTGAGCTCCCGCCCCCACCCCAGACACAGTGCACAGTAGGTACCTTTCTGGTTTTAAACCAATAAACTTCTAGATCCATGTGCGCACACAGACACACACCATTTTGATTTCAAATTAAGATTTTTTTCTAGAAATGTTAAGAATTCCATCTTGAGTTTCAAATACGCTGGCTTCGCAGCCTTCTTAGATACTAATTTTCTCCTGCGGAAAGTTTCCTCTTTCTTATCCCAATCTGATTCCAGCTCAATGCAACGCAACCTGCCGACATCACCATTCTTACTTTGGTGCCACTGGTTGGCAAAAATCCCCTTTAGGTTTTCAAGCCCAGGAGAAAGGATGTGTGGGCCCAGCTGTGTATAGAGTCTTAAATCATCTACACAGCCTGGGGACCCACATTCCAACCATACATGAAAACCCACCTGGGTTACAGTAAGTTCACTGAAGTTTTGTTTACCTTAATTCTTATTTCAAAGGCAGATACTATAAAACTCCAATTTTTCCTGCCAACTGAATTGTCCTATCAAGTAAATAGAAAACAATAAATGTTTAGAGGTCCTCTGAAGGTCCAAAGAATTTATATTATTTGGATGTTATGATCAATATTCCTTCTAAGTGGTTTTTGAACAATCATGTTCCTTGAATAACAAAGGAACTGAGACTCAAAAAATGATGTTGGCTGTGTAATAAAACCAGTTGAAAACAGAGAAGTCAGTTCCCCACTTGTGCTAAACTCCTTCCTCCTGGAGGGTCCATGTATTCTCTTCACCACCCCCCACCTCTCCCACCCCCGGGAGGCTCCCACCTGCCTTTACCCTGGCGTGGCCCATTGTCCAAGGCTGGTTACCTGTCCTCCTGTATGAACACAGTACCTGTGCTCACCTATCTCTGCACTGAGCACACTGGATGGAGGTGCCCTCCCCGTGAAACATGAAGCCCTTGCAGACAAGACCAGGCCTTGTCCCTTCTCTAGTGTCAAAGCCAGTTCCCGGTGCGTTGTAAGTGCTTGATAATCCATTGTCTCTTGTGTAAATGAGCGAATGTGTGAACTGTGATGGCATTTTAGAGCCTTTGAGATATCTGACCTTTACTTCACAAGACAACTGAACAGAGACAATGGGCTGAGTCTGGACCCCTGGGTTCTGAGGACATAGGGGGACTGAGTTAGGCCAAGGGTGGCTGGACTTCTGGTTTTAGTTCATAGGAAAGGTGAGACTGAGTGGAGAGCTAGGATTCTCTCATTTTAACTGTCCTGCTTTGAGATTCATTTTTACATACTGAAGGGTTCTTATCTTTCATTTTTACTTACACTTGCCTGTCAATGTTGCTTTTGAGGTTGTCTGCAGTCCACCACCTTCATTGTATATATGTGGGAGTCACATGAAGACCCCAGAACAGCCTCTTGAACTGTTCTGACTTGGTTGGCATCATCTAGACAGAAGCTTACTTGTGTATAGGAGCCTGACATTGTAATATATCTACGTAGATGCTGCATTTATAGACCCTGTCTATGTACCTGTGCTACATTAGTCATGTCAAAGGAGAACACCCCACCTTCACCATCCATCCTTCCAAAATAGCAACACTGTTGTGTGCAACGTGACATGTAATAGACCTCGGTCTCTTTCCCAGGGCTGGACCCGGCGGGGCCGTATTTCCACAACACGCCGAATGAAGTCCGGCTGGACCCCTCAGATGCCAGCTTTGTGGATGTCATCCATACGAACGGCGTTCGCTTCTTCTTTGAGCTTGGTCAGTTTTCAACAGAAACAGAAACTACCAGGCGCACAGAGGAGGATCTTAGAAGCACTCATTCTGCTTTTACCTACTGCAGGTGCCGGAACTATTAATGCTTGTGGACACCTGGACTTTTACCCAAATGGAGGGAAGCACATGCCAGGATGTGAAGACTTAATTACACCTTTATTTAAATTTGATTTCAATGTTTATAAGAAAGGTAAGTATCTTCTAAAACATGAAGACTGCTGCTGTACATTCACTCAGCTCCCTCCCAGGATGGGAGCCACGTTTTTGTTTATAATATAAACATAATATCAAAATCCATTTTAGCCCCAAGTAGTCACATGTATGAAGCTCCCACCCATTGTGAGATCTGCAAGGTCAGGTACTGTCTCTTAGTTACCTTTGCATCTCCAGTGCCCGGCAGAATGTCTAGATAGTCATTGATAGAAACCAGGAGACGGTTTCTCCATGTTCTGTTCATCCATCCAACTTTGGACTGAGTTCTTGCTATGGGCACACTTTGATTGAAACAGCAGATGTTGGAATGAAGACAAACATCCTTCCCTGAAGGAGTTAATCTACTTTTCTAGAAAAACAACAAAGAAATCAGTGCCAAGAAGACAAGATAAAGCACAGAATGGGAATGTGATATACTGGTGACAGTGGGAGTGAAGTAGAGAACATTTTTGATGGGTGGCCGGGGAGTCCTTACTGAGTAGATGATCTGAAAGAGTTAACCACGTGGGTCATCAGACTCCTTTATATACACAGGCTTCCCAGGCAAAGGGGCTAGGTTAGCAGGTACAAAGGGCCTGGGGCAGGAACCTGTGTGAGGTTCCAGTGAGAACCTTTTGTGGTTGAGATGAGTGAAAGAGAAGAAAGTACCTGGGCATGATTAGAGAAGGAGTAAGGGAAAAGGAGAAAATACAAGGCCTGATGAAATGACTTTAGCTTTTACTCAACTGAGAGGGAAGCCATGGGGGGAGTTTGAGCAGAAGATACACATGGTTTGGCTTTTTAGCAGAATCACTCTGGGTCACAAATTAATTGCATATTAAATAAATAGAACTTACCCTTTTATAATGCCAATAATAGTATATCTATAAGGCACTTAGTTATAAACACAAAAAATTTTTTGTTTGAAAATTCCATTCCTCCCTATCTCTATATTTTGTCATCACATAAATAATGAAATATGTTGTACATACTATAGAATAATGCATAATGACATAGTATATGATTATATGATGACAAATACCTGAATGATTCTAAACATCTCACCACTTGATCCCATGTGGTCAGAATATCTAGATGATGTCATTATTTGACCTCTCACTTGGCTGTTCTAGAAGAAAGACACACAGATCATGACATTGAGGTAGCTTGAATTTCTTCTTCATTAGAGGTAAATTTCAGAGTTTTAGTATGTGTTCTGAATGAGTTAAAGTGATTGGAATTATCTATTTGCACATGCAAAGATTACTTAAAATAAAAAATACTGATTAATCTACCGGTAAGTCACATAATCAAACTGTGAATTAAAGTCAATTCTTCCTCATACAGATAAGAAAAATTCATTTTTAAAAGGCCTATATAAAACTTATTTATCTTCTTATTTTCCTTGCAATGATGTAAAATCTTTCCTATTTGGATAAAATATGGGCCATCAGACTCCTTTATATAACTGCATTTTGTTATACACAGAGCACTTGAAATTTTGTAAAGAATTAATTCAAGTAAAATATACACTTATCATAAGCTATCATTTTGAGACATTAGAAGATTTCCTACAATTTTATTAGATTAAAAGCACATTCATCATTCATATTGTCTTTAGATGAGCTTTAAGACTGCAAGATATTCTATTTTACATTTATGTATTACAAAGAAACCATTTACTTTTAAAAGTCATGTTCCCCAATATTCTAATGTATACACATGTCTAAACCACAATTAACTGGGCATAGAAATCTGTATAAAAAGATCTGATGTAAGAGACGTTCTTGTTTAAAAAAAGGATGAACATGATTGGCCTCTGCTGATTATATTGCATTTTTGAAATTATGCTGTCTCATTGCATATCTATTGCATAAAAAACCATAGTGACTTATAAGAACAGTGGCTTTATTGTCATGATTCAGAGGCTTAAGATTCAAATAGAATTCTGCCAAGATCTGCTTTGCAGTGTGTCATGGGGATGACTCATGTGATTGCATCCAGCTAGGGGCTGGGCTGGACTAAGCTGGGTGGGAGGGTCCAACATGGTGCTCCATGCCTGGGGTCTTGGAACTGACTCTCCTCTTTGTTTTTTGTTTTTTAATTTTTTTTAAAGATTTAATTTTTATGTATACAATAGCTGGGGTACAGGCCAGAGGCGCAGGAGGGTGAGAGGGTTCACCAGAGACAGGGTGGGGAGCAGAACAGGCAGACAGAACAGGCAGACTGAAAGCACTGCTGAGGGGACCAGCGGGCGAGGCAGGAGAGGTCTGCCGCAACATGTGGGTTTCTCCCTGGCCGTCCGGGAATCGAACTCGTGCTGCAGAGGCTGCGGACAGCTTCACAGTGCTGCACTCAACCCGCTGCGCCACTGGGGAGGCCCCTGGCACTCCTCTTTGAATGGTCTGTTATCCTTCATGACCAGTCTCCCCAGCTAGTGTCCCTGGATTTCTAAACATGGAGGCTGTGTTCCAAGGTAACAGGAGAGGATGCTGGATGGTTTCTTTGCACCAAGGCCCTGGAATTTGCATAATGTCCATTCCTCCATGTTCTGTTGGTCAAAGCAAGTCACATGACTAGCTTTGGAATAGGTGGGGAATGAAAAAATAGGCTGCATGTCTTGAAGGGAGCAAGAGTAATATGATATGGCAAAGGGAGAGGACCTGGAGTAATTCATTGGACACAGAAGGCCACTATTGTGAAGCAATGAGATGCTATCTATAGTGAAACCAAAATCTACTTTCTTAAAGGCAGCTGAGCTTCGGAACAATAGTCCATGCCTCACAGGAAAATGTTGTCATATAAAGAAAACACCCATGGCTAGAACGCTTTGGTAACTCCACAATGCAAGGTGAATGCAGATCTGTCTTATTTATGGTACAATAATCCTCGCTGTTGGTGACATTGAGGTGCATGCCTGACAATAACAAAGCCAATTTGTCTTTAGCATTCTTTATAATGCTGCTGACCGGTCACCTTGAAGCTTAGCTGAAGCTGGTTTACCTGGCAGGCTGCTTTGTGACTGAATAGGAATTGCATTTAGTTCTTTCTGCAGAAATGGGGAGACAGAGTTGACTGACTTAAGTTGGATTCTTTAAGCTTTAAGTGCTTATGTCAGAGATCTGGAAAGTGTTCGGGATGTTAATGTCACAAAGTCATCGACCTCTGCTTTTGTATATTTACCTTGATGAATGTGCCTTTAGACTCACACAGAGAATTCTTTGGTGTGAAGAAAATGACTTGTAACGTGAATAAATGTGTAAGTGCATGTCTCCACGCGGGGGGTCTGGCTGGCTCAACCCTCCTACCCCAAGACAAGAAACTGTCATTTAAAGTTGCTTTTTCTAAGACATAGTTTATATTATCAGTTATCTGTTCATCAGTCCATCGCTCTCAGTTAATTGGAAATTGTTTTCACAGCAGTGGTTTCCTTCTTTGATTGCAACCACGCCCGAAGTCACCGCTTCTATATTGAAAGCATTCTCAATCCCGATGCCTTTATTGCTTACCCTTGTAGATCCTACGAATCTTTTACAGCAGTAAGTAAAGCACTTTGCCATGGAATTTAATTAGCAAGTCATTTTTGAAGCATGATCAGCCAACTAAAAATTAGGACTTTGAGTTTGTGGCAAAAAAAATAGCAGCTGCCATTTCGGGGAATAATAGATGCTTTCTGTGCTGAGTAGTGAACAGTAGCTGGGTTGCTGAAGGGCTTAAATAACAAAACCTGCTATTTGCATTCTGGTTGTTTCAGCTTTTTTGAAGATTATATCCAATTTTGCTTTTTGGGCTATTTGTTATGCAGTAATTAGATCCTCCTTTTCTGGTATATATTTTAAACATCATCTTCAAAGATATCCTGAGCAGGCTGAACCAATCAATAGCTACAACCAAACACATCACTATTTGGTTGAAACATGTAAATTGTTTTACTAAAATTCAGTTATTTATACAAAGCACAACAAAGGCAGGCTAGCTCACAGGAGCCCCTCACTCATCAACATACCAAATCTGATTTTGCTTGCGTCATGAAGCACACGAGCCAGATCTGAGCGGAATGTATTTTTTCATTTGGTTAACATTATGAAAGAGGAAGGAAATCTCTTGTAGTGGGAAGTGGAAAGGTTTTCCTTCTCAGACTTTAGAAACCTAATCCCATTTTATCAGGGTAGAAGAAGGTGGTATTTCAGCTGAAGTTTCTTGGAAGTCCTGGCACCCAGTGGTGAGGAGCTGTGGGGACAGGGTCCTGCCCCTCCTGCTAAAGAGCACCGTGGCACCCTGAGCTGTCCTCACTCCCTGAGCCAGCTGTCCTTCCTCAAGGGCCATCTGCTCAACTGCCTGTTCAGGAGCCTGTCCGCCAAACACTGGCTTTTCCCCTATGACCCCCAACTTCCACGCCTCCTTCTTCCAGCCCCAGAGGTGCCATGAGTATCTAAAGGCGTCTTGGCATTAACTGTACTGAAAGCAGGTGAAACATGCAGAGAAAGGCACATTCAGAGATAAAGGGATCGATCTGCCAGATGGGAGACCCTTAGGCTCCTGTGACACGGAGGCTCGTTACGGGTAGAGACCAGAGAACATTGTGTCAATTTTCTTGATGTGTTTTATTGTACTTTTACCAAATAGTCATAAAAATGAAGTGAAATGAAGGAAATGAAATAAAATACAGGAGGGGCTCTCATGCCAGGCTGGCCAGTTCACATTCTCCCACCATCACTGACTGGATTTGCAAATGCAGGCAACTTGGTTAACTTGTCTCTGCTGCACTTTCCTCATCTGTTAAGTAAGAGACTAAAGGCATCAGCATAATAAGGGACTTTGTGGGGATTCATCGCATTTGATACCTGTAGATCAGAACAGTGGCGGTACAGGCTATGCTCTCAATAATATGACCTATTATTATTGTTGTTGTTAGAATTTTTCTTCTTTAAAAATGGGAGTTGGGCCTGCGCTGGTGGCACAGTGGTTGAGCTCTGGGTTGCGAGGCTGCCTGCAGCCTCTGCAGCGCCAGTTCGATCCCCGGCCACCGGCGAGTGTCCCACCAAAAAAAAAAAAAAAAAAAAAACAATGGGAGTTTAAAATGTTTTATTATAATCCCAGCTTAAATATCCATGGTTTATAAATCTAAAGGTTCAAAACCTAAAGAAGCAAATACTCAAAACACTGTGACCCAGTTTTTGTTATGTTAACATTTTGTTAGCTTTGCTGTAGATTTTAAAACAGACACATAAACTTGCAGTTCCTAATATTCCTTTCACACACACCCCCAAAGCAAAGTTTGAAGTGAATCTCATATATAGGTAAGAATGACGTCATTCTGTTAGTACTTTTCAGGATTTGCTTTTTTCATTGACTTTTGTAAATTTGAGATCTGCTTTGATGAAAATACGTCTCTTGTATTTATTTTGTAGGAATCAGCCACTGTTGATTCGCTCATGCTTCTACTAATGCACGTTTTGGCTATTTCTAATTCTTGTTATCAAAAGCAATTCTGCCATAAACACCTCTGCATGCCTTCTTACGAACTTCCGAGGAAATTTCTTTATGGCACGTAATAGAAGTGAAGTCATTGAAGCATATGTGCATTTCTGTCTTTATTAGACATTACTGAATTGCTATCTGCAATGCCTGTCAATTTGCATTCTCCTCAGAAGCAAGCCAGAATGCTCTGTCCCATGTCTTCATCAGTGCTTCTATTGCCGATCATTTTAAGTCTTGCAAATCTGAGGATGAAATTGTACTTTGTTTTAATTCGCACATCTCTCACAACTTAACACGTAAGACAAGTGTCTTTCCCAATCGTAGTCATTGACTATGTGCATTTTCTCTTCTGCTCTCTTCTGTGGATTATCTATTCGTATCATTGGCCCACTTCCTATTAGTCTGCTTTATCCTTTCCCTCGGTAGTTTTTATTTTGCTTTCCTTTATTTTGAAAGCAGGGAGGGTGGCCTGATAGGCAACCTAGTTGTTTTTAAATGTACATGCTGTATTTAGATTTGAAAGATTTTATAGTTTAATAATATGCAGCGCATAAGTTTACCGAAGGTCAACCTTTCTAATTACATTTCTAATTACCTCTTATTTTTTTGTCACCAGGGAACTTGCTTCCATTGTCCCAAAGAAGGTTGCCCAACGATGGGTCATTTTGCTGATAGATTTCAGCTCAAAAATATGAAACCTAATAGATCATATTATTTTTTAAACACAGGGACTTTTTCCCCATTTGCCCGTAAGTATTGTAGCTCGGTTTTATTGTAATGCTTTAAGTACTTATCTTTAAAAATTGAACAGTTTTTACTGAGTCTCTACTAAATGACTGGGCACCAGGCCAGGCTCTGAGGTTGCAGTGGAAGATGATACAGTGTGCTCAGGCTCCTGGGAATGGCAGCAAAAACAAAAGCCTCAGCTTCCATCCTGTGTTCCAAACTTTCTGTTAGGAGAGGCTCAGAGGAGAAACTTCTACGACCAGGCCAGGGGAGTCTCTGAGGAAAAGAGATGCCTAAGGGGACTCCTGAACAATGAATGAAAGGGAAGGGAAATAGGATCTTCAGGCAGGAGCTGCCCAGCCAGCAGTGTGGAGACCCCAAGGGGAATAGCATGAGGCGGGCAAGACAAATTGGGTTCAATAATGAAACTGTGCACCATGTGGGGAGCCTGGGCTCTTCTGAGCTAAAGGAAAGCCATTGCAGGGTAATAAAATTATCTGATTTTTTAAAAAGAAAAATCACTCCTGTTGCTGCAGGGATTGGAGGGGACAAAACAAGGCAGAAGGGCCTGTTAGAACAGTTGTGGCCTCTCCACTGTGTGGGCTGATGGATGTGCTAACTCACCTTATTGTGGTGATCACTTCATATATGTGCATATCAAGTCATGACGCGTGCTTTCAGCACATGGTATTACATGTACACGACATCTCAACGGAGCAGGGAGGAAAGCAAAAGAATTGCTGCAACTGTCCAGGCTGAAGCAGAGAGATGACAGATGGGTGAGAGGGAGAAGCAAGAAGCAATGTGAAGAAAGGATTGAGGGATGTCGAGGGTGCTTTTGGCTGGGTGGTGCGTCGTTGAACTTGGTGACACAGGAAGAGATGCTGAGTGAGAGGGCTGGGAGCTCAGTTTCTAGCATGTTGGGGTTGCGAGGCCTTTAGGATTTGGGGCTGTGCAGCGGGTCTCAGCCTCTGGAGACCAGGATGGGCTAGACAGACCTGAGAATCACCTGCTCTTAGACAGCAGTCAAAGCCGTGAACATGGGGGTGTAATTACTCAAGGAAAGGACATCCAGTGGGAAGCGAAGAAAGTGAAAAATGATGTAAAAAATATATAAAATAAAAATTTTAAAAAATGTGGGAAGGGAGGGCAGAGAAAGAGGTTCCTCTAAAAGAGATAGGTAGGACTGGGCAGAGACGGAAGGAAAATTGGCTGGGGTGGCAGTTCAGAGTCAAGAAAAGAAAGACAGTGAAGAAGGAGGATGCCATTTTGACACCATATATGACAAAGATCAGATGAGACAGGGGCCCAAAGGGACTTGAGCCACGAAGCACCAGCTGTATTTTGTCATGTACATGTATCACCCTGATCTGCATTAACTAAAACTTGCGCCTATGTTGAAATGCCCAGGACATCATGCTTTTTACATGTTTTCTTTAAGCCTTCATTTTTCTCTCGTTTCTTCCTTATCTCCAGGTTGGAGACATAGACTGTCTGTCAAACTCAGTGGAAACAATGTCACCGAAGGCAGCTTATTTCTCCTTGTAGGTGGAACAACTGGGAAAACAGGAGAGTTTGCCATCACCAGGTAGGCAAGAAGGGACACAGATCCCCTGGCGCTGGGCATGTGGTTAGTAGTTACCCAGCTGTCTTTGCCTTTCCCACAGTGCCACAGGCTATCATGTGACATGTGACTTTCCTGTTTAAGTCACATATTCCAGATATGAAGAAGAAGGCATAATCTCTATTTTCTCTACAAATTCTGCTACAAACAGAAAATGTTAGGACATGATGACATGAAACTGTAGATCTAGATAAAAAAAGAGAGAGAGAGGAAAAAATTGACATAAAAAAGATATATTTCATCCAATCCATTTAAGGTTATAAAAGTGTGAGCATATGTTTTATTTGTATAGATCACAAATGATTTATGAAAGAAGACATTCATATCAGTTGCCAAATTTCTAATAAGCTGCCATAGTAGTACCCACAGACATAAGCCATCTATTAAAATAGTCAACAATAGGAATAATTCACAAGAGCCGTTCACTCTGCATCTTGTGCTAAATTCCCCCTTTATCTTGAGTTGTCCTTAATATTTTCTTTGATCAGCCTTAGCAGTTTTGCATTGCATATTTCACTTTTGTGATTTCATTCTATAATGCATTTCAGAATTAACATCATTCACACAAATTAGCTGTGACCTTTTTACGAACTGATGAATGGGTTCGATGTTCTGCTTCTGTGATGTTCATATCTTTAAATACTGGGTAAAGGCACAAGAAGCAGTGATTTGGTGGTTGTCTTGTTGGTTGCCTCAATCCCCCTGGTAGAGTTTGGACACACCCTGTGGCCCTAATGGAGCTGCTTGTAAACATGAGCTCAGGCCGTGGCAGGTCCTGGTTGATCCCCTGGCTCCTTTCTGGCGTGTCTTCCATGTTGGCTTTGTTCATCTCCAGCTCAGCAGATACCCTGAGGGCGCCCCCTTCCTGACTTCACCCATGCTGTTCCCTATTCCAAACACCCTGTCTGAGCACATCTCACTTCTGCTGCTCTCCAGTAAGCAGTTCCTCTGAAAATATTCAATACACAGGGCCGCAGTCTGTCTCTCTGACTTTGCCTGAGGCTGTGCAGCTTGTGTCCTGCACACAATGGCTGTGGCTGGGACAGGTGGGGACAGATGTGACGTTCCTATCCTTTCACATTGGTGAGAATGCTGCAACATATCTGCTTCCTTTGCTGTTTGAAATGCTGTTGTGTAGTTACCCGATCCTTTTCAGGAGAATTAAGCATTTTGATTCACAGTAGCCTGAAGATGTCTTGGGATGAAGTCAGTTAAATGAGTATGTGCTGGCTTCGTCCCCAACTTCAGTCAAAACACCTAAATGTCTTTGATACCAGGCGTTGTTCTCATGATGGGATACAGACAAGGGCCTTACTTTCGTGGAGCTTCCCGTCCAGTTAGAAGAAAGAGATGATAAATTAAGAAAGGAAAAAGAAAATAATAGAAATCGAGAAGTCTCATCTGGTCTAATTTTGGTTCAGATAAAATTTCCTTCTGTTTCAAAATAATCCACTTCTCTCTGGTCTCTTGCAATGTTCACCAATACATCTCTTGAGCGCTGTTTTAATTTACTATGATTTCTATACAGATAAAGATGTGTAGAATGTTTACTTAATAAAAGGGAAGCATTTTGCTACTGACAGCTGCTAAACAGACTTCTGGTTTACAGATCAGTTTTGTATGAATTTAATCTGTCTTTGCCAGTTTGATCATTTCTGGTGTCGATAAAATCTGGTTTCTGACACTACAAAGCCAAGACCAGATCTTTCGTTATAGAAAATTCATCAAGATAAGCACTTCTAAAAATCAACTCATCAGACTTCCTACTGACCTCACACTTCTAAGCTCCAGAACTGTGCAATACTGATTGGTGATAATGAGAATGGAAAAAAATAACCCCCATCAGCAAGTGCTCTTCCTTCCCATGACCCACGCGAAGACAGTATCCCACTTTAGCTTTGCAAGTAACCAGTGAAAGCTTCTGAGTCTGATTTTTTCTGCTTGCAGTGGAACACTTGAGCCAGGAATGACTTACACAAAATTAATTGATGCAGATGTTAATGTCGGAAACGTTACAAGTATAACGTTCATTTGGAAGGAACATTCCTTTGGACATTCTCAGAATAAGTTGGGAGCAGAAATGGTGATAGATAAATCTGGAATATATGGATATAAGTAAGTCTTGCTTTTTCACATGCATGTTCACATAAAGTTTAAATTTTGTGCATGGCATTTAAAAAACATGTCTAGTTTGAAATTCTCAACTAATGTGAAAATGTGTATGCCTTGAAATTCTGTAATTAAAGGAATGATTAAAAAATCAATTCTATATTTGCAAAAGTGTTTACAAAATAAGAATTGCTCATGAAATTTGAAGACCAATGTCTTCTGTCCTCACCCTTGGAATCGTATTAATGTTCCTCCCCCCTTTAATTTTTTCAGATCCACCTTCTGTAGCCAAGACTTCATGGGACCTAACACTGCCCAGATCCTAAAACCATGCTCATCCCAGATACTGCCATGATGGATCCACGTAATGGGGACAGCGAAAAAATAATCTCCTTCCAGTCAGTGTCCAAGCCCTACTTGGCCCTTGTAAATGACATAGCAAAGTATACTTGTTTTTTTATGTATAGAATGTTTTCTCACTACAAACTTTTATATGTGCCCTAAAAACTGGCTGAGCCCTGGGACAGAGTATAGTGCTCTGATCTCTAAGAATTTGGATATCATAGACAAAATAGAACTGCGTTGGCATTTCCCTGAGCGAGTAGTGGTGCAAAAGCAAGGCAGTATAAACTCATCAGGAGCAAGTGAGTCTCTGCGGGTTCAGTGTTGAGAGTAAAGTTAGAGGATTCCAGGGTAATCATTGTTCTAAAATGATTTAAGGAATATTTATTATGTTGTGAACTCTTGCTAAGACAAATTATGGATATAGCTCATGATTGCTAATAGATTATAACCCTGTGGGTTGATCTGTCTATCTATTAATAATGAAAATGAATGAGTGTGTTAATATTTCCAAGGTGTTCCTTGGTCTCCAGAGTGTGTATGAGAAAAAGAATTTGGAGCTTATCTGTGATGTGAATGTCAGCTAGCAATGAGGATGATCACTCCATCTTTTAGAAGTTCCATAGCCCCGGAGAATTACTCATCCCCTTTCACCTTGAAGGACCCCTTGAAAATTTGTATTTATCCTGAAGGAAGCATTTCATTTATAAAGCACTTAACAAACCTTTTGTGTTTGCATTAATAATACTGTAATATTTAAATGTGTCAACTGTGTTTTGCCTTTTCTTTGGCTTCAATTTCTTCTAATTCAGTTGTCTTTATCCAGTGAAAATGAAAGTTGAACCCTTTATTTGCTCAGTTTTCTCTCTCTGGGCTCAGAGATAGAACCCTGCACTATAAATAATGTTCAAAAGAAATGATGGCAGGCACTCTGCAGAGGGTTTTTTGATTCTCCCTGGTCCCTTGCTGCCAACTGAACCTCAAGAAACCTAAGGATGTGCACAGAGTCAAGTGATGGCAGCAATCCGAGAACAAAGTGTGGAGACGCTTTGCTATTGGATGCTTGGGGGACAGAGATTGGCTGGAGCACAAAGTTGGGTGCAAGCAGGAAAGACAAGGAGACACACTTTGCATCCTCCCACTTGTGTCCCACCTCCCTGGTAGGCATAGTAGCCATCGTCTAAGGTCAGCTACAGAGTGGCCATGAGCTACCCCAGGGGAGGGTCAAGCCCTATAGAGTGACTGCCCCAGGCCCAGCACTCCTTGGCATCTGCACTGGCACCCTAGTAAGAAGTCCGCACCATGGCCCAGGGAAGGAGACCTCCTGTGAGAGCAGCTGTCCTGAGCTTTCTTCCTCTCGGCAGACATTCCCAGACCTGGAGGAAGAGTTATGGGGCCACCTTGGGCCCCAGGAGTCCTGGCCTGCCTCCTGGTCCATGGGGTCTCTTGGCTGCCTCTTTCTAAGCCTCAAAGGCAAATTGAGAGACAATTAACTTCTAGGATCCCTATTTTAAATAAATATTGACTTTCATTCCTATTGTTCTTAATGGGACATCTAAATGTCTACCCACCCCTTTCTCATGTGCAAGGAGGAAAAATAGTGCAGGTGTTCTTTGGGGAAAGGGATGCCAACTGTTCAAGGTGACAACACTATTGTCGTGGGTATTATTGCCTCCAAAAGTGCTAAAAAGAACAATTTCCTTTTCCTCTGAGGGTCTTGCTTTATCACAGCATAGTATTTGGGGTCTGCAATTGATGGGGCAAAGAAATTTTGCTTCTTGGATGAACTCCTGTTAATGCTGCAAAGTGACTGCCAATTGAGCTAGCCTTTGGCCTCCTCCACTCCCTGCTGCGACATTCATGCTGATAGAGGCTAAGACCAGAACCTGGAGGTGGGGGTAAAAATGATTAATATAGTTGTTAAACCAACAATAAAAATGAAAATCCTTAAGAGCACACTGCTATGGAAGGTATCTGGAAGCACAGACCAGAGGTGGGGTTATGCAGATTGAGAGCCAGAAAATCCCAAGTCCTGTAAATCAACCTTGTCACACCCTAAAAGTGATTAACTTAACAATAGATAACAATTCCACAAAGGAATGAATCCCTCCCCAAAAGAACAGTGTATCAGGACAATTTCTGCACTGGCAAACGCAGCTCTGTAGCCCGACTGTGACTATGCAGGTCCCTCTCTTTTCCTATCTCCTTTTCCTAATGAACTTGTCCCTTTACAATATAACCTGCAAATATCTTAGTCTTCTCAATAAAATCCCTGTGACCAACTGAAAGGGGAATTCAACCAAAACTTTTCTCAGAGGCCATCCAAGGATCCCACTCACTGAATGCAACACTCAACAAAATGACATCAACACTTTGTCATATCTCCCAGAAATGCTACTTCCAAAGTTGATGATTAGTATCTCCTTCCTCCACCACAATGGACTGCCCTTCATACTCACCAAGTAACATCTTCAGATCTTTTTTTTTTTTTTTTTTTTTGTATTTGTTTTTTTTTTTTTGTTTTTTTTTTTAAATATTAAATTTTATTTTTATATTCCCCCATACAATTGCAAACGCCCCATTCTGACCCCAATCCTTCCCCTCCCGCCCCCCACCCCAAAAAAGTGTCTCTGGTTCATAGTTTTTTTGTTGATTTTGATTTTCACTTTCTTATATTCATTTTCCTGGTCCTTATTTAAGTTTTCTAGATTCCTGCTATGAGTGAGACCATCCGGTATTTTTCTTTTTCTTTTTGGCTTATTTCGCTGAGCATGATCCCTTCCAGCGCCATCCATGTTGCTGCAAATTGCATGTGTTTATCTTTTTGAATGCTGAGTAATATTCCATGGTGTATATGTACCACATCTTCTTGATCCAGTCATCTATTTTTGGGCATTTGGGCTGTTTCCAAAGCTTAGCTATTGTAAACAGTGCTGCTATAAACATAGGAGTGCAGGTGCTCTTTTAATTGGGATCCATGACCCTCTTCTTTCTTAAAAACTATTCAACTTTTCACAAGGTATCCTTTTATACCCAGCTAAAGCTGCTCAGTACATCCATAGTTACTCTTATTAATGCCCTCAATTCCCTGTCTTATATCCTTTTCATCCTGTCAGGCAAAACCTCAACCAGGATGCACCGAGATCTCTAGGCCAGAACCCTAACAACTGAGTGCTCCTGGGACAGTCTGGTGGAACTAAATACCACTTATCGACAAGATTTTAAAATTCTATGTGACTTTTTTTAATGTGTCTCTTATCCAGAACTCTTCTACTTTGTACAGGAATCAGAGGTCATTGGAAAACCAATCCCACTTCTTCTGATCCAAACATATGAACTATATACTACTTCATCCTTTCTATCCTTTTTCCACTGTCCAATGTCAGTGCTGCTCCTGCACCTTGAATCCCACCCTCTCCATCTTTGTTGGGAACTCTACCCTATTGCTTACATTTTCTCTCTTCAGTAATTTCAACCTCTCATTGCATCAGCTTTTTAAAACTCTAAGTCTCTCCTATTGGGAAAAAACGGCTCTCAACCCTGAATGCCCTTTTATTCCCATGCGACCTCAGAGCAGCTCTCACCAATATTTCTAACAACCTCCAATCACTAAATGAATATGGGAAATTTTACTCATTTGCTCTGTCCCCCTGCAGAATCCAACACTGTTGTCAACTCCATCCTGTTCTCTTTATTTTTAAAATTAAGAAAAAGTTTATTTTTATCATACATTTTAAAAAATGATCAAATATTTATAGCAGCAGAGAATTAGTAAACTGGAACCTCTAGGTATTTGTCAGTCAAACAATTGTCAGATTTTGCTAATTGCATTTTATCAGTGTATATACAAATACACACTCCCTGTTTTGGCTTTGTTTTTGTTAGAATATTTTAAACCAAATCCTAGCCATAATACTGTTTCTCCCATTTATACTTCAATATATAGCTATAAACTTCAAATTTCCTTAACATAACTAGAATACCCATTTTATAAAAATTAATCATTTTTAAAAGATGTATTTATTTATGAATACAAGAAGTGGGGTATGGGCCAGAGGTGTGGGGGTTGAGAGGATTCACCAGAGACAGAGTGGGGAACAGAACAAGCAGACTGACTGAAATACACTATGGAGGGCAGCAGTGGGCAAGTCAGGAGAGGCCTGCTGCACCATGTGGGTAGCTCCCTGGTTGGGATCAAACTCGTGCTGCAGTGATTATGGATAGCTTCATAGGTTGTGTCTTAACCCCTGCGCCACCAGGGAGGCCCCCCAAAATATTAATCATTTTTAAATAAATTTAAGATTAACTAAAAATTCCTTACTATCATTTCAAATTTCCCAAGTTGTCTGAAAAATGTCTTTTGGCAATGAATTTTTTTTTAAATTGGGAACCAAGAAAGATCCATACATCGCCCTTGATTGACTTGTCACTAAGTCTCTTCATCTATAACACATCACCCACCCCTTCTTCCATGCCAATTGTTAAGTGACCCACATGAGTTGTCTTGTAAATTTTCTACCATTTAACTGATGGAGTCTCTCCAGTATCATTTGGTATATTACTCTATTTTGTATCTTTCCCATAGACTGGTATTTAGGTTGAGAAGTCTTGGGGACATTCAGATTCCTCCCCACTGGGGCAACTTTGCACTGTACAGTTCTCAAGTTAACTGCTGATCTTTTCTTTTTCTTTAATTTCTTTTTAAAACTATGTATGTAGTAGCACTTCCTAAATTGGAAAGGGCTATCCCAATTACAGTTGTAGGTAAAACCAAATATGGAGTGGATTATCCTTTAGTGACTAAATGGCAGGGTAAGAAGAGAAAGTCCCCTGGAAGAAGGTTTGCAAGAGTTTATGCTCCAGTTGGACTGGAGGAGAGAGGCAAGTGGCCATGTCCAGATCCAAATATGACAAGACCCTGAACTCCATACTATGTCTAGGGCTGGAGGAGGCAAATAACAAACGCTCCTACCAAATACAGATGCCTGGTTGAGTTGTGTGGCCATTTCCACACGCGCCTCAGAAATGGTTATTATCCAAGTGGATAATAACCTCCCCTGCTTAATAGAGCCCTCGGGTTTTGTTGACTCTGCAACTTCAGAGTGAGCAGAGGACCTCAGAACAGAAGAATAATTTATGCCAAGTTATTGTTTCCCAGCCTTTAAAATCTAAGCTCCTGTGAGATAAACATAAAAATCTCATGTCCCTCCTGGGGTCTTTACTCCTTCACTTGAGAAAATCAATCTTGTTTCCTACATCCTCTAGCCAAAAAGATTTTGTAAATCTTGACTTTCTGTAGATTGTGCAATAAAAAAGATCATTGTGCCTTGTGTTGCATTGTGCTGTGTTATTCCACTGCCCCCCTCCCCAATACATAGTATATTGTAATACCATATGGGCTTTTTTAGAGCTCTGCTCTGAAGGATTTAAGCCTAACACTCAGGCGAGTGGACATATATTTACTGGATTTCATTCCAGTATGAGAGGCTGAATGTGTACACAGACTGGGCCAAGGATTTTTGGCAACTGTTTTTTCCTTATACTATTTATTTTCCATGTTTGAGTTTTGCAAACATTTAACCTTTACATTGTCATATTTTTCTTTACCTTTATAGGCTTTTCCCCATTCATTCATTTAACAAACATTTACTGGCTTGTTTTTATGCACCAGGCCTTGTGCCAAGTAATGAAGTTAGATGAAAAACAAGAGGAGGTCCCGCTCTTGAAGTACACACAGCTCCGAAGAGGACCAGGGAAAG